TGACTATATTTTTCATGCGATATTCTTCTCTATTTGATTAATAATACACACACACTCCTGCCACCAGTAAGTAGAGTGGCTTTTTTTTTTTTTTTTTTTTTTTGATTCTTTCAAGTCTAGTTGAGGTGAATCCTTAGGTTACTTAGTCTTAGTCGTGACTCAAATACAGGTTTGATGAGAAAAGTATTTTCGTAGCCCTTCAAGGGGTCAGGTATCTCTTTAGGTAACGTGGAATGATTTCCCTACTTACTCTAAGGTATCTTTCTTTATAAATCTGCATAGTTGGTTCTGCAGTGTCTGTTGATACAGAAATTAAGTCGTTAAAGGAACTGAAAAACAAAAAATTCACAGCTTTGAACAAAGATAGTGGCCAAATTCAAAGCAGCAAAAATATGGAGTGTAGTCTGCACGTGATAATAGTTTTGTAGTAGTTGTTGTTGTTTTGAGGTGGAGTCTCGCTCTGTCTCCCAGGCTGGAGTGTAGTGGCGTAATCTTGGCTCACTGAAGTCTCCGCTTCTTGGGTTCAAGCAAGTCTCCTGTCTCAGCCTCCTAAGTAGCTGGATTATAGGTTCATGCCACCACGCCTGGCTAATTTTTGTATTTTTAGTAGAGACAGGGTTTCACTATGTTGGTCAGGCTAGTCTCTAACTATTGACCTCATCATACGCCCACTTGGCCTCCTAAAGAGCTGGGATTACAGGTATGAGCCACTGTGCCCAGCCTGTGATACTAGTTTTAACCTAATAAGTAGGAATTTTATTTAAAAGGCTAAAATAAAAAGTTGTAAAAATAATATGAGAATTATATCTAATTCAGTTATCTTAGTTACGACTTACAGGTTAGTGTCATATATTTGCTTTGTGCTACAAACACGAGCATACCTTCTTTGATAAAAAGCAAATGAGCGGCTTTAGGATATTCTCAGATATTCCCATGTTTTGTCACAGAACCCTAGGCATCAGCCTCAACCAGAGCCTGTAGTTTCATTCATTTTAAAGTTTATTGTTAAATACATCCTCATATTTTAAGAGCACTATAGATTCTTTGAAGAATTGTAAGTTGTTTTACGCTCCAAAGTAATCCATTCACTCTGCCCTTAGGGGACACAGAAGAAATAATTAGAATATTGTCTGATGAGTGCTATGTTCAGGGTGTCAAAGACATGGCATGTATGTGTCTAATCCAATCTCAAAATCAAGATGGGATCGCCACAGAGAGCTTGTTCGAGAAGGTGGTGGCTTCACCAGGTCTTTATTATGGAAGAAAGGCATAGTACTGAGAGGATATGTCGTCTTAAGGACAGACCTACAACGAGTTAGTATCATTGTTTTAAAGTCACGTCTCACTTTGTAAGATGAGGATGGAAGGAGTAAAAAGTAGAAATAGGAAAAAATAAAAGGGATCCCCGTAAGACTGCAAGAAAAGTTATAAAGATGAGTGTAAATGAAGTTACTTTTGAGGAAAGCAGGAAGGGGTGGCAGGAGGGGCCAGAAAATCAGAGATTATGCCTGATGGCTTCAATGTGTTTTGTGTTGTTTTTTTGTTTTTGAGACAGAAGTCTCGCTCTGTCGCCCAGGCTGGAGTGCAGTGGTTCGATCTTGGCTCACTGCAACCGCCGCCTCTCAGGTTCAAGTGATTCTCCTGCTTCAGCCTCTGGAGTAGCTGGGGCTACAGGCATGCATCACCACGCCTGGCTAATTTTTTTGTATTTTTAGTAGAGATGGGGTTTCACCATGTTGGTCAGGCCAGTCTCTCAAACTCCTAACCTTAAATAATCAGCTCACCTCAGCCTCCCAAGTGCTGAGATTACAGGCATGAACCACTGCACCCAGCCAGTGGCCTCGATGTTCTTAGATAGATGGGAAAAAAATAGACATAGACATCATTGACTGGGCATGGTGACTCATGCCTGTAATCCTAACACTCTGGGAGGCCAATCACTTGAGCTCAGGTGTTCAAGACCAGCCTGGGCAACATAAATTGAGACCTTGTCTCTACAAAAAATTTGGAGGAAGAAAAAAGAAAAGAAATGGACTTCCCTGAATAGGGGCTTGAGAGAGTATGCCATATTTGGAGTAGTGACCATGAGGATGTGAGAAAGAACTGATCAAAAACAAACAAAAAACCCAATAAATGGTACAAAGGGTCCATCCAAAGCCAAAGACCATTAATTTATAGTGATAACATTCTGGATACTTATGAGATTTTTTTTTCTTTTCCCCTAGCATTTCTCAGCAATCCAGTATAAAAACAGAACAAACACACTTTGGCATTGCTTTGGGGTTGGAATTTTCTGGGCTGAGATAAAATTATATGTACATCAGGAATCTAAAAGGGGCTTATGCTGTTTTGAATAATCAGTCATGAATTCAAGCTTGTAGTGAAAAAGAAAAATAAGATGCCAGAAGAGAGCCAATAGATTAGAAAGGAGAGATGGGCCTGGAGTCTCTGAGGTTGGAGGGCCGGTAGAGTCGACTTGAGTTTATGCAGGAACTGGCTAGAAAAAAATGTGATGAGAAAGCGGGATAAGTGCATGTAAGATTTTTGAGAGAGAAGTTTCTAAGCCAGTTCCAGAGTATGACTGAAAGAATTAAGGATTGAAATACAGTGATGAAGTGGTCAGTATCATTTCAGTATAAAAGTGATCCCGGCATTTCAACAATTGGTTATAATATGGGTTTTATGTGTGGATGTTATTTCAGTGTGATGAATGCAGTTGGAATGAAGTGAAACACTGATTGTTGTCTCAAAACATGACTTAAGATTTTAGAGTTGGTTTGGTATCAAATAACAAAATCTTGGTGGCTATGCAAGTGGGTGATTGAGAGGGGTGGAGATGAAGATCACTGGAATCCAGAAGGTTCAGGAAGCTGTCAGATTAAGTGAATTGTCCATTTAATACTGAAGCATGTTAAAAGGCATGGAGAATACTTGGAGGGGCAAGAGGGTTTGACCAGCTCCAGAATTCTCTCATCTATAAGATGGAGTAGCTAATAAATCAATAAATTGAGTACAGAAGCAACCTTGCGGGGAAAATGGACGAACAATTTTGGCATTTAGCCAAGTCCCTAGGTTCCCTCTCAGAATATATATATATATATTTTTTAATGTATAGGATTGAAAAGAAGGAATTTGGTTGATACAGTTAAAAAAATGTTAAATAGAAATTTGTAAACAACAAGATCTAAGGCTGGATGGCTCACACTTGTAATCCCAGCACTTTGGGTGGCTGAAGCAGGTAGATAGTCTGAGTCTGGGAGTTTGAGACCAGCTGAGCAACATGGCAAAATCCTGTCTCTACAAAAATACAAAAAATTAGCTGGGTGTGGTGGTGCGCAACTGTGGCTCCAGCTACTCATGAGGCTGAGTCAGGAGGATCACTTGAGTCCAGAAGGTCAAGGCTGCAGTGAGCAATGATTGCACCACTACACTCCAGATTGGGTGAAAGAGTGAGACCCTGTCTCAAAAAGATTAAAAAAAAAAAAAAGAAAAAAATCTAGAAGCACATCTTATAACTACTGTAACATTGTAATAGCAGTGATCATAAATCGTATTTTAAAATATTTGCAACAACGATATGATATGAAAACATCTATATGTTCTATTGGTGAAAAGTTAGGTACAGTGAATACTAATGGTGCATACTACATTGGAGAAAATGTTGATAAAGTTAGCAAAAATGTATAATTATTTTTACTCCATCCAAGTTCAGAGAGACTCTGAATTCACTCATGGTCCTCTGGGTAAGAAACTCTAGTTTAAAGGATGATATATCCAGAAGGCATAAACCTAAAGGAAAAGAAGTGGTATTTGCGTACAGGAGAATTTTAGTTTAGAAGTGGCAGTGGAGAGCTAGGAGAATTTTTCCATGCTTCAGGACCCCATGGCAATTGTGGAGGTGAGGGCAGGAAATGGTGGGGCTGTGGCTGAGAAAGCTGTGTGGAAGAATTGAGGGAGTTAGGCCAGTGTCCTTTGTGATAAGAAGCTATATGCATTTCAAATCAAACCCAAAAAGTGGAGGGAAAGGAAGCTGATGCTCTAGTAGAGATGATGTTTACAGTAGCTGGAGAGGCAGAGTGAAAATTCTTAGGAGGGTAAGAAACAGTGAACAAATGAAAAAGCAGAGAAAAAGGTCAGAGTAGTAATGAGGGTGCTAGGGATGGGTCACAGTGAGATGAACTCTTTGAGGTCTTGGGCAAATACAGACTGAAACCTGGGATGTTTGAAAGCCTGTGAAGGCAGGCCTTCTGGAACCATCAGAGTAGCAGCCCACAGCCTTTGCTCAAGTTTCCAGGGAGAATCCCGCTGAGAAATTGCTGGATGTCCCTGAAGAAATCCCCATTTTAAATATTATGGTTGTGGTGGAGAAGCCTTGGGCTTGTGTTTTTACTTCTGATGTCTTTTTTTCATTTTCCTCCTTTCTGTCTCCTAGAGGATAGAACATACTCTATCCAGCTCAGGATAGAAAAATTTGAAGTCAAAATGAGACACTTAATAGCAAAGTGTGAAATAGTTTTGGGGGTTGGGGAAGAATTGGTGTCTTACATTAAAATCATCAGATGATATTTCCTACTATGTTTATGTGGGGAGCTTCCAAACACACAAAACCATATGAGAGTTGGTGAGTAAAAACAAACTTTAAGAATTATTTTGTAAAGACCAGACTTGCCGTTTTATAATAACCCAAAGGAGAATTTGGGAGTATCTGCCAGAGTAAGGAAAATAACAAAATGAAATTCAGGAGCAAAATACATATGGGAGTGGTTAATATAACTAGACAGACTTTAAATGTATGTAACTTAATATTTAGTCATTCGAAATGGATAGAAGAATTAGATCATTCTGATTGGGAAATGTGTTAACTTTAAAATCAAAGTTTTAAATATGTTTTTAATCTATCTGCACAGTTACGCTGTGCAGATTTTTATTTATTTAAACCTAACAGTAAATTTGTTAATCAGTAGATTGATTCTCTTTGGCTTTGTTTTATTTTTAATTAGGAGTTAGCACTGCGTAGCCAGTTACCAACACTGGAGCAGGATGGTGGGACTCAAAATCCAGTGTCTTCTCCCGGGATGTCTCAGGAATTGAGAACAATGACGACCAATAGCTCAGATCCTTTCCTGAACAGGTTGGTGAGAGTTGCTACTGGTGAATATCTGAAAAGAATCGTCGCTCTAAAATCATTTTACTTAGTACTTGTAATAGGCTATTTGGAACATCTGTGTGGGCCAAAAACCATAACTATAAATTAATGTCTTTGTAAACAGCAAGTACATGAAGAGTTGAGGATTAAAAGTTGTCTTTTGTGAGAGGAAGTGAGCCGTTCAGACTTGTACCAGGGATACTTACTCAGAGTCACAACGTGTTTGCTTCTGCCTATACTGTTGACTAACAGTTACTTAAAATTATAGAATCATGAAAGAACATGTGAATGCCTTTCTGTGAAAGCGAATGAATTGCCTGTTAAACCTACTTAGGATTGCATTGTCAGAGTCGTTGGAAGAAATTTTTCACGTAGCTTTTCAACCTGAAATGTTTCACCCAGCAGCACTATAGGGCCTCATGTTCTTAAGAAAGCCCACGGACATAAAATGTAAGGTTGTACCTCTTTCAGAAATGCATTAAGATTATGGCAATATTTGAAAATAATGTAGCTTAGGCATGCATCTTAGTGAGTTACCACAAATCCTGGGTTTCAGACAGATTGCAGTATTATATAAACTGCTATTTTGAAGTCTGTGAGCTGAAACAGGTCATATTCTTTGCCTAGGAAGGCATCTAAGATTAAGATTTAACCAAAACTTACTCTTCTAAAGTTGTAAAGTATCTGTGGAGTTTCAGACTTTTTAAAATATAGGAATACATTGCGGTTTGGATTCCTTTTCTAACCAATTTAAACAACACTTACCTAAATATTTAAAGGTACTTTGCGTTAGGAAAACTATTGCACTGCCTTTCTGATTTTTCCCAATTGAATTGGAAACTTAATAATTCCAAGAGAAAATATCTTACCCTGCTAAAAATATTTGGTGCAATAGAATATACCATTTACCCAGTTTTTAAGATTAGTGCTTCTGGCCTAGTTGGAAGGTTTGATTTTGAAAGCCATCTAAAATACATTTTAAGTTTGTATTTACTCCTCTGACATACAGTTTAAATTTCTGTCTAAAAGTAAGTGTATTTATGTAAGATTATAGTTCTAGACTTAAACTGAGGCTAATTAAGAAAGATCATAGCCTCAGAACTTTATTTTTTTCCAATAAGGAAAATTTCATATTCATGTAATTCCAGTGCCTGTCTTGTTGAAGGACCTATATTAATACCAGGGATAAAAATTAGACCATTTTAAAAGTGGATAGGCTGCATATCCTTCTGACAGTCATTTATAAAGATTTTTTTCTTAAAACTTTTGATGAGACTGGGCTACAATTTGATGCCCTGTTTTCTGGGAAGATCAGAGTGGCAGATATCAATGTTACTAATCCAAGGGCAGAATTATATATCCATTCTCTGTACCCCCAGTTTCTAAAGCATACATCTGACTTTGAATTTTTTTTTTCTTCCTTAAAAACAAAAACTCACCGGTCACGGTGGCTAACGCCTATAATCCCAGCACTTTGGGAGGCTGGGGTGGGTGGATTACCTGAGGTCAGCAGTTCAAGGCCAGCCTGGCCATCATGGTGAAACCCCATCGCTACTAAAAATACAAAAATTAGCTGGGCGTGGTGGCTCGTGCCTGTAATCCCAGCTACTCCGGAGGCTGAGGCAGGAGAATCGCTTGAACCCAGGAGATGGAGGTTACAGTGAACCGAGATCACGCCACTGCATTCCAGCCTGGATGACAAGAGCAAAACTCCGTCTCTAAATAAATAAATGTAAAAACTTGGCTGGGTGTGGTGGCTCACTCCTGTAACCCCAGCACTTTGGAAAGCTGAGGCAGGTGGATCATCTGGGGTCAGGAGTTTGAGACCAGCCTGACCAACATGGCAAAACCCCATCTCTACTAAAAATACAAAATTGGCCGGATGTGGTCACACATGCCTATAATCTCAGCTACTCAGGAGGCTGAGGCAGGAGAATCTCGCTCGAACCCGGGAGGCAGAGGTTGCAGTGTGCTGAGATCATGCCATTGCACTCCAGCCTGAGCAACAAGAGGGAAACTCCACCTTATAAAAACAAAAAAACAAAAAAGTCTTGATGGTTTCTGTCTTATTTACTATCTGATTTATATATACATTCCTTAAGCTCTAAATCCTTTTCCTCCAACTTGCCATGGCATTGACTGCTAGTGGTAATGCACAGTCCCTTTATCTCCCTTTTACTTTTGAGATCTCTCAAGGCCCACTCAGATGTCCCCCTCCATGAAACCTTTACCCTTTACTTTCAAGCTCCCTGTTTGTTCTGAAAGCACTGTGCTTACATAGTTCATATAACCCCTGTATATGATTCATTAGTGTATTTGTTCATGTCGCTCCTTGAAGTTGTGAGCCTCTCACAAAGCATTGTTTGTAGGTGGTGGTGGTTGTTAACCTCTTTATCCTCAAAGCCTAGTCTAATGCCTGTCATTTAGTAGCAGATGCTCAGTGAATGTTTATTGAATGAGTGGGGCCTGTAGAAGGTGGGGTTCTGGAGGGAGCAGTTCGTCTCCAGGAAAATGGCTGTGTGAACGCTGTCCTCAGGAATGCCCATGTGCTTCCCCTGTGGTTTGGAATGAACTCTGCACAACTCTGTAAGTTCAGCTATTCAGTAACAGACTAAAATGTCTGATGTGTATCCCATGCTTAGCAGCGGAATAGAGTGAGGACTAGGACCAGGCCCTTATCCCAGATCAGGGCAGGCAAAATACAAACAAACCACATCCTGAGGCCTTCTCATACATGGCTGCATTGTATACCAGTGGTCTCAGAGGCAAATTTTTGTTTTCTTGGATCCGTGTGAGGCTTTTCAGCCTTGCCAAAACCTGGCAGATGGCTTAGAGTAAACCAGTGATTGCGGTGTATAGAATGAGGCGAGAGAAAGAGAACAAGGCAAATGCATTGCATCATTTAGGGAAAGCAGTTGGGGTACTGACTGAGCTTTTAGCCTTGAGCAATTGTTAAACTTGTTTTTATTTTTTAACTTTTATTTAAGTTAAATAACTGCTTATTAAATATACAAACTATAGAGAAAGTTAAAGTTCACATTCCTGTACACAGGCCATTGAAGAATAACAATTGCCTTGATTTTATGCTTTTCTGTAAGACTTTCTGAAGTGAGTAGAACTCAGCGAATGCCAGCTGATGCCTAGGTGTTACTAGTTTAGGAAAGTGTTCTGTTTATCAGAGGAATGGATATTTACCATACTTCTATGTAAATCTGTGAACCCTTATTTAATCTAAAGTGAAAATCTGTGTTGGGTCATGTTATTTTCAAGGGATGTGCCTTGCAGTTTTTTGTTTTGCTCTTTTCTTTAACCGGAGCTATAGGATCTCGTTTTATACTGAAGTGTTTGGGGCTTTTTCTTCCCCCACCAAACACAGAAGCAAGGAGATCAAGCCACGGGTATTCTTATCTCATCAGCAGTGACTCATCTATTTTGGCTCAGTCCTAAAAGGAATTTTGGTGGTTTATTTGGGGTTGATTTTTCCTTGGCTTAAGTTCTCTGCACGAGAGCTAGGAATTTAACTTGAATCTAGTGCAGACCTGTCTTCTCGCCCACCTGGAGTTTGTGTTTTGACCTCTCTTTCTGTGCCACCACCACCTGGAGAATTGAGACCTTGGAACAAGTAAGTTGTGTGGGTTCCTCCCCACCCCCACATGCAGATGGTATTACAGAGAGAATATTGATGCAGAGAATTTCCTGTCAGCCTGGAAAACTAACTGGGGGTATCTTGTTTTGGTCCCTTATTGTCACCAAGCACAGAACACCTTAGGAGAAATCTTGGCTCCTTAGAGCTGCCAGCTTCAATTAGGATTAACTTGTCTATTTCACTTCATAGCACAAGTCCTGTCTGTGGCCCTGAAGGAGGGTGCTTGTTTCAGACATTGCGGGGCAGGAATTTTCACTAATCCTCTTTGAGAATTATGTTGGTACGCAGCAGGTGTTTATTTTTACCTTGAATTGATTTTTAAAATTTTTGTGTTGGTCTTTAACTGTCATGTTTTTGTAGTGGCACCTATCACTCTCGAGATGAGAGTACCGACAGTGGACTAAGCATGAGCAGCTACAGTGTCCCTCGTACCCCAGATGACTTCCTGAACAGCGTTGATGAGATGGATACAGGTTGGTATTCTTTATTCCTCTTGGTAACCTGACTTATAGTCAGATATGTTATCACCAAGTCAAATAAGCTATTGTAAGCAAAGATTATTCAGAAGATTGAACCTGCTTTGTCTCTATATGGTGATTTGTAATTTGTCTTTTCCTAGTTTAAAAAAAAAATACATTGGCCGGGCGTGGTGGCTCAAGCCTGTAATCCCAGCACTTTGGGAGGCTGAGGCAGGCAGATCACTTGCGGTCAGGAGTTCGAGACTAGCCTAGCCAACGTGGTGAAACCCTGTCTGTACAAAAAATACAAAAATTAGCCAGGCCTGCTGACATGTGCCTGTAATCTCAGCTACTTGAGAGGCTGAAGCAGGAGAAATACTTGAACACAGGAGACAGAGGTTGCAGTGAGCCAGGGTCACACCATTGCACTTCAGTAGGGGTGAAGAAGTGAGACTGTGTCTCAAAAAATCAAAAACAGACAAACAAATGTATATATAAATGGATTGTCCAGGTGCAGTGGCTCATGCCTGTTATCCCAGCATTTTGAGCCCAGGAGTTTAAGATCAGTCTGGACAACATGGTGAAACCCCATTTCTACCAAAAAAAAAAAGAAAAAAGAAAAATAAGCCAGGTTCGGTGGCACATGCCTGTAGTCTGACCTTCTCAGGAGGCTGAGGTGGGAGGATGGATTGAGCCCCTGTGATCATGCCTGTGCAGTCCAGTTTGGGTGATAGAATGAGACCCCCTTCTCCAAAATAAATAAATAAATAAATCATAAATTGGCTATATTAGCTCTATTTGAATAAAACTGATAACATGGCTTGTTTTAGCATATTGATCTTAAAAGCAAGACAAATGGAAGACCCTATTAGACATCTCTCTCCTTATTATAAATTTGTGTCCGTAATTTTGAGAGATGTCTACCTGGAATTCAGTGTTCGTCTTCATCTTTTCTCTAAGAGTTTTTGGTCCACTTTAGGTATTACGGGGCTCAGGAAACCAGGTGGGAAAGACTAGGAGGTGAGGCCCACTTATTTTATTAAAATAGTTGCAGAAGGCCAGGTGCGGTGGCTCACACCTGTAATCCTAGCACTTTGGGAGGCTGAGGTGAGCAGATCGCCTGAGGTCAGGAGTTCAAAACCAGCCTGGTCAACATGGCGAAATCCTGTCTCTACTAAAAATATAAAAATTAGCCGTGTATAGAGGTGTGTACCTGTAATCCCTGCTACACAGGAGGCTGAGGTAGGAGAATCATTTGAACCCGGGAGGAGGAGGTTGCAGTGAGCTGAGATCACACCACTGCACTCCAGCCTGGGTGACAAAGCAAGACTGTGTCTCAAAAAAAAAAAAAAAATTGCAGGGGTCTTGCAGGAGCTAAGAAATACCTGCCTCACAGGGGTTGTTAAGGAACCATTTCTCCTGTGGCTTACCTGGCAACCATTGCCCTAGACTTGACAACTGCCAGAGTGCATGAATTAGCAGGGAAATGACACTGTTCTTCAGCTACCGACTCTTTCACTAACTACTTCTGTTCTGAAAATGTTTAGCAAGGCTTTTGTGCCTGTACTCACGCAGCTCGTGGCTTTGGTGCTTTCTAGAATCCACACCACCCTCTCCTCTCTGCTTACCTAGACTTTAAATCATCCTTAGGAGCCACTTGAAACCCGTTTCACACACAACACCTTTACTTACTCCTCTAGTCTGCATTTCTGTCTTCTCCAGGCCCCTGTAGCCCTTAATGGCTTACATTAGTTTTTCTGAAGGTATGTACTATTGAAGGAATGTAAATATTGTCATTTGCAAAAAGGCTCTGTGGCCAAGTAAGTTTGGGAAACCTAGAAGCAAGGCTAAGAAGATGTATTTATTCAAAACCTTCTGGGAAGCTTGTATTGCTGTTACGAAGGTGCATCTCTTAAGGGTGGAATAAAGTATTCATGCAGTCCTTTTATTTTTGTCCCTAAGTGGCCAAGGTAGGTCTATACCACTCATTTTTATGTTTAGTCTTATTATGGTGGTGCTTATCTGGAAGGCAGTGTAGTGATGCTGTTGTGTTGTGTGCTTGTTCCTTCTCCCCCGGGTGTATATAATTTTTCAAGGGCTTTTTAATTTTTTCATGACTCCCTTTAGTGTGCAGCACATAATAGCAATCAAGCAGTTATTGAATATTTGAACAAATGTTGAAGCAAAAGTAAACTTGACATTGTTATTTTGTTATCTGTGAGTTGTTTGAAATTCGAGGTATCAGCTTAGGTCAGTTAGGAGTGCTTTTCTTTGCCTATGCATTTCTGTATGGTCATATGATAAGTCCTGATGTTAGCTTTTCAAAAAGGACTTTGTTATCTCTCTCTCTGTGTTTCCACCAGGTGATACTATCAACCAAAGCACCCTGCCCTCACAGCAGAACCGTTTCCCAGACTACCTTGAAGCCATTCCTGGGACAAATGTGGACCTTGGAACACTGGAAGGAGATGGAATGAACATAGAAGGAGAGGAGTTAATGCCAAGTCTGCAGGAAGCTTTGAGTTCTGACATCCTTAATGACATGGAGTCTGTTTTGGCTGCCACCAAGCTAGATAAAGAAAGCTTTCTTACATGGTTATAGAGCCCTCAGGTAGACTGAATTCTAAATCTGTGAAGGATCTAAGGAGACATATGCACCTGAAATTTCCATAAGCCAGTTGCAGTTTTCTGGCTAATACAGAAAAAGATGAACAAACGTCCAGCAAGATACTTTAATCCTCTATTTTGCTCTTCCTTGTCCATTGCTGCTGTTAATATATTGCTGACCTTTTTCACAGTTGGCTCTAAAGAATCAAAAAAAGAAAAAACTTTTTGTTTCTTTTGCTATTATAACTACTGTTCATTTTGGGGGCTGGGGGAAGTGAGCCTGTTTGGATAATGGATGCCATTCCTTTTGCCCAGTTAAATGTTCACCAGTCGTTTTAACTAAATACTCAGAAGTCAGATGCTTCATGTCACAGCATTTAGTTTGTTCAACAGTTGTTTCTTCAGCTGCCTTTGGCCAGTGGAAAAACACGATTTACTGGTCTGACAAGCCAAAAAATGTTATGTCTGATATTAAGTACTAATGCTGATTTGAAGAGATACCTGAAACCAAGGCTGAAGACTTTTACTTTCAGTATTTTCTTTTCCTCCTAGTGCTATCATTAGTCACATAGTGACCTTGATTTTTATTGTAGGAGCTTATAAGGCATGAGACGATTTCCATAGAAATATATTAATTATTGCCACATACTCTAGTATAGGTTTTGGTGGATAATTTTGTGGGTGTGCATTTTGTTTTGTTTTGTTGGGTTTTTTTTGGGGGGGGGGGAGTTTGGTGGTTTTGTTGGAACCTAGGCAAATGACCATATTAGTGAATCTGTTCATAGTTGTATCTTGGGATGGTTATTGTAGTTGTTTTGGTAAAAATCTTCATTTCCTGGTTTTTTACCACCTTATTTAAATCTTGATTATCTGCTCTTTCTTTTATATATATGCACACACACAAACATAACATTTATAATAGTGTGGTAGCAGAATGTATCCTTTTTTTTAGGTTTCCCTACTTTCCAGTTAATTTTAAAGTGGTAGTGCTTTGTATGCATTTAGAATACATGACTAATAGTTTATATTTCACTGGTAGTTTAAATCTGGTTGCGGACACCATTGTTTGAAGTAGTCTAGTGTTCTAGAAAGAGCTATTACTATGGATAGTGCCTAGGGGAGTACTCCACACCCTGTGGGCATACAATAGATATTATCTGATGAATTGGAAAGGGGCGAACCAGAAGTGGCTTTATTTTTTCCCTTGGACTCCCTTGGACTAATAACAGTTAGTCTTGGTTGGAAATCACTGAGTAGGTTTATAATGTGCATGACAGAAATAAGCTTTATAGTGGTTTACCGTCATTTAGCTTTGGAAGTTTACCTTTGCCTTAGTTTTGGAAGTAAATTCTAGTTTGTAGTTCTCATTTGTAATGAATACATTGAAGACTAGATGAAAATATTGCCTTCAAGATTGTTCTTATAAGACTTGCTCCTACTTCTATATGCTGAAAATTGACCCTGGATAGAATACTATAAGGTCATGAGTTTAGCTGGAAAAGTGATCAGATTAATAAATGTATATTGGTAGTTGAATTTAGCAAAGAAATAGAGATAATCATGATTATGCCTTTATTTTTACAGGAAGAGATGATGTAACTAGAGTATGTGTCTACAGGAGTAATGGTTTCCAAAGAGTGTTTTTTAAAGGAACAAAATGAGCATGAATTCACTCTTCAATATAAGCTATGAAGTAATAGTTGTGAATTAAAGTGGCACGAGCTAGCACCTCTAGGTTTAAGGGTCTTTTAATGTTTCTAGAATAAGCCCTTATTTTCAAGGGTTTATAACAGGTATAAAGTCTCCTTCTCCTGGCAAAAGCTGCTATGAAAAGCCTCAGCTTGGGAAGATAGATTATTATTCCCCCATTTACAAAACCTAAGTATTTTGGCCCATCAGTTTGGAGGAGTGCAAAAGTTGGAAGTCAGAAGTTTTATTTTAAATACTTCCAGTGCTCAAAAAAATGCAATCACTGTGTTGTATATAATAGTTCATAGGTCAATCACTCATCATAATTGACTCTAAGGCTTTTATTGAGAAAATGGCAGAAAGATTAAATCTTGAATTAAGTCTGGGGGGAAATGGCCAATGTGCAGATGGAGTTTTAGAGTAATAATGAAATTCTACCTAGAATGCAAAATTGGGTATATGAATTATATAGCATGTTGTTGGGATTTTTTTTTTTTAATGTGCAGAAGATCAAAGCTACATGGAAGGAGTGCCTATAATTTGCCAGTAACCACAAATTAAGATTATATCTTATATATCAGCAGAGTAGCTTTAGCTTAGTGGGAGGGTGGGAAGGTTTGGGGTGGGGGTTGTGAAGATTTAGGGGAACCTTGATAGAGAACTTTATAAACTTCTTTCTCTTTAATAAAGACTTGTCTTATATCTTGCTGTCATTAAAGGCAGCTGTTCCTAGAATTTCAATCACTTAAGTACACCCACAAAACAAGAATATGGAGATCTTCATTTCCCCTTGACTTTAATTTGCCCAGTTATACCTCAGTGTTGTAGCAGTACTGTGATATCTGGCGCAGTGCTTTGATCTTACGATGCCCTCTGTACTGACCTGAAGGATACCTAGGAGTCCTTTCTCTCAGTTTGAATCATAGCCTTGATGTGGTCTCTTGTTTTATGTCCTTGTTCCTAATGTAAAAGTGCTTAACTGCTTCTTGGTTGTATTGGGTAGCATTGGGATAAGATTTTTAACTGGGTATTCTTGAATTGCTTTTACAATAAACCAATTTTATAATCTTTAAATTTATCAGCTTCTTACATTTGTGTTCTTTTCAGTCAGGGCTGCTTAGATCTACATATGGTTGATGGAGCACATTGATTTGGAGTTTCAGCTCTTCCAAAGCACTATTTGTTGTAATAACTATTTTCTAAATATAGTGCCTTTAAAGGAAAAATGAACACAGGGAAGTGACTTTGCTAAAAATAACATTGCTGTTTTAAGTATTCCTATTAAATAGATGCCTTCTATCTGGAACATGGCAGAAAGACTGAAAAATAACAGTAATAAATTGTGTAATTCAGAATTCATACCAATCGGTGTTGAAACTCAAACATTGCAAAAGTGGGTGGCAATATTCAGTGCTTAACAATTTTATAGCGTTGGTACATCTGAGAAACGAGTGCTCAGGTGGATTTTATCCTTGCAAGCATGTTTTTATAAGAATTGTGGGTGTGCCTATCATAATAATTGTTTTCTGTATCTTGAAAAAGTATTCTCCACATTTTAAATGTTTTATATTAGAGAATTCTTTAATGCACACTTGTCAAATATATATATATATATAGTACCAATGTTACCTTTTTATTTTTTGTTTTAGATGTAAGAGCATGCTCATATGTTAGGTACTTACATAAATTGTTACATTATTTTTTCTTATGTAATACCTTTTTGTTTGTTTATGTGGTTCAAATATATTCTTTCCTTAAACTCTTCTTTGTTGTTTCTAACAATTGATACTTGACACTTTTTTTTTTTTTTTTGGCTTCTTAATGGTCTTCCAGTAGAATTAAGAACTGAAAATAAAAGGTGATTACAGTAGTAACTGGGAAGACAGGTTAAACTTAAGGTTCGTTTTGCTTTTAAGTTAGGCTTGGCATTTAGAACTTTTGAAGTATGGATATGTGTAATTCTTTTAATTTTGTGTTCTTACTCTTCGCATATACCATCCTCATCAATGGTAGTGTCTAAGCAGAATTGTGTCTGCTTCATTCTTAAATGACTTCACTACATGTGACAGCACAGAAGAAACTGAGAACATGACACTGTCTTTCAGAATGGCCTTCAGTTTTACTTCTTTAATATATCTCTCATGACCTCCAAAATAGAACAGTTGTATTAGTAAAAAGCATTACTTACTGGCTTATAAATTAAAAATATTTGGCCAGGTGCAGTGGCTCACGCCTGTAATCCTAGCACTTTGGCAGGCCAAGGTGGGTGGATCACCTGAGGTCAGGAGTTCAAGACCAACCTGGCCATCATGGTGAAACCCCATCTTAAAAAAATAAATAAATAAAAATAAAATAAAATAAAAATAAAAACATTTACAAATTGAAGTGGTAGGTCCTGACCTTTGAATAAGAAGTAGATTTGAGTATCTTTAAAGATGGCCAAGCATGGTGGTAGCTCATGCCTGTAATTCTAGCACTGTTGGAGGCCGAGTTGGGCAGATCACGTAGGTCAGGAGTTAAAGACCAGCCTGCTCAACATGGTGAAATGCCGTCTCTACTGAAAATACAAAAATTAGCTGGGCATGGTGGTGATGGTGGTATACACTTTCAATCCCAGCTACTTGAGAGGCAGAGGCTGCAGTAAGCCAAGATCATGCCACTGCACTCCAATCTGAGTGACAGAACAATTGACAATTGTTTTCTCAAAAAAAAAAAAAAATTTATTTCCGTGCTTGTGTATATGATATCTTCAATTATTAACATCTGTTTTGGTGAGGCAAATCTGAAAATGTTCAGTATTTTACAATATATGGTTTATGTTTAGAACACTAATTTTGTGTAGCTTGAAATTATTTCCTTTTTGTAGTACACATACAGTGGTGGCACATCTTGGCTCAGAACCATACCTTGCGTCTATAGAACTGCACTTGTTGCTCCAAGGGTGATACACTTTTTGTCGCATGGTGTGAAGCCCAGTAATGTGAGTCCGCCTTCGTTCTGCATCTCTGAAGCCAAACTGTACCATCTTTAGTTAACTCTGAGTGTAACAGAATACTCAGGGAATGTATTTAGATTTGGGAATAGACACTAACGAGAACAAGGAGGAGCATTCCAAACGTGAGAAGTACAGTAGTTGTACTTACAACCTGATATTGAATAATTTACATAATGTTTTTCTTAGACCCCAAATTAAAGTTCATCGGTGCAATAAATGAATTGCTCAGCTGCAGTAAGCAAGAAAAGAGTCTTTCAGTGGGAGGGAGAGAAAGAACAATACCAATAAAAGGAAACCTAGGTGACTACTGCAGAAGGATCAGGAGACTAGTGGGTTATGTTTAATTCCCCAACCCCGATTTCCGTTTCTTGACAGCTGAGGTTACAAAAGAAAGGCAGCCTCAAGGAGCCAATCATGTTTTCTTACCTTCTCTAATGGCAGCCAGATTCTCACTGGTCCTGCAACCATCAGTTTTACTGACAAAACCTGGCTTTATGGCGGCTAAACTGCTGTGCTAATGCTGTTGGAATCAACAGGGCTCTGATGGGATGTCTGCCATGTCATCCCTATTCCACTTTGAACTGTTGGCACTTGGTCTTTTTTAGTCATGAGAACCTTGCAATAAACAATTGATTTAAAGCTTAACTGCTAAATTAAAATTCAGATGAGAAGTCTGACATTTAGTACTGCAGTTTTTCCAAGTCACACTTGGAATATGTTTCGCCACATTATCTGAATACAAAAAACTCTGACATGGTAAAATGGGTAATTTCTTAACCATAAACATAGCCTTCATACTGCCACAAATGAAAACAGTTGCAGAATCAAGACATTAGCAATACAAAATATTGAAAAGATACTCTGAATAAAGTCTGCCATATTTTAACAGAAAAAATTCCCAAAATGACCTGACTTAGAAGCTGCCATGATCCTGTTAGAAGTCAAACAAACAAAAACCCAGTATCTTTGCCACTCAAAGCAATTATTTGGAGCAAAAAGTCTACTTCTGTAAAATTTTTAAACAGCCTAGTTAAAAATTTTTAAAAACAAACTTTAAGAAACGAGAACTAGGGGTACTGTAACTTTGTGAGATTGGTATTGGTTTGTACTCTAAGTTAGTAGACAGGGCTTGATTTTTTTTGTAAAAGGAACTTTTTAAAACTTGTTTCTTAGGGTTGTGTCATACCTTTCCCCATGTTTCCTTATGTCTTGTCCCAGGTATATTTTTTCGTGAAATTATAGTTCCCATGACCTTTTCAGAGTCTATATAAAATATGAGTTAAACTTTACCTTTTGGGTGTGATTTTATTTGTGAGATATTTAAAAAGCGAATCTCGCCGGGCGCAGTGGCTCACGCCTGTAATCCTAGCACTTTGGGAGGCTGAGGTGGGTGGATCACCTGAGGTCAGGAATTCAAGACCAGCCTGGCCAACATGGCGAAACCCCATCTTTAAAAAAATAAAAAAAATAAAAAAAAAGCCACATCTCAGTTACCTTTTTTTTTTTTGAGACGGGGTCTCACTCTGTTACCCAGGCTGGAGTGCAGTGGCACAATCTCAGCTCACAGCAACCTCTGCCTCCTAGGCTCAAGCAATTCTCATGCCTCAGCCTCCCAAGTAGCTTGGCCCACTCACCCAGCTAAGTTTTGTATTTTTTGTAGAGACAGTTTCACTACGTTGTCCAGGCTGCGCTTGAACTCCTGAGCTCAAGTAATCCGCCCACCTCGGCCTTCCAAAGTGCTGGGGTGACAGGCCTGGGCCACCATGCCTGGCCTCACATCTCAGTTTCTTTTAAAGCATTTGTTCTGTTTCACATCAGGTTTTTATGTTACGGTGGATTTACACAGAATAAAAATGATGGCATATCTGACCAATATAAAGAGAAACTAATTTTCCTAAGGATCTGGATTAAATGGCAGAATCCGAGGGAGTCTCCTGTGTTTCAGTACTATCTCCAAGAGCTGCTAAAGCCAGCTACTAAAAGCTGAGCTTCAGTAGTGATGCAGCTATTAGGAAACCTGGCTAAATACAATTTCTCCTCCTTAGGGAACCTCTCAGCAACTTAAGTATTTGACACTTTTTTCTACTGAGTAAGAGGTAAGAATGGGCACAGTGGCTCACGCCTGTAACCCCAGCACTTTGGGAGGCCAAGGCGAGAGGATCACCTGAGGTCAGGAGTTCAAGACCAGCCAGGCCAACATGGCAAAACCCCATCTCTACTAAAAATACAAAAATTAGGCCAGGCGTGGTGGCTTACACCTGTAATCCCACCACTTTGGGAGGCCAAGACAGGCAGATCACGAGGTCAGGAGATCGAGTCCTACTTGGTTAACACAGAAACCCCATCTCTACTAAAAAAAAATCAGCCAAACATGATGGCACTCTCCTGTAGTCCCAGCTACTCGGGAGGCCAAGGCAGGAGCTTCGCTTGAACCTTGGAGGCAGAGGTTGCAGTGAGCTGAGATTGCACCACTGCACTCTAGCCTGGGTAACAGAGCAAGACTGTCTCAAAAATATATATATATATATAAATTAGCCAGGCGTGGTGGCATGTGCCTGTAATCCTAGTTACTGAGGAGGCTGAGGCAGGAAGAATTGCTTGAACCCAGGAGGCAGAGGTTGCAGTGAATCTAGATCGTGCCACTGCACTCCAGCCTGGGCAACAGAGCAAGACTCCGTCTCAAAAAAAAAAAAAAAAAAAGCACATTTGCAGCCAGAGTTCAGCAGAGGCATCTATCTCATGGGCTGTAGCCCAGTGGATCTAAATGATGCGAGGATCACAACTAGATGAGACTGGTCACTCAGATGACCATGAATTAAGACCTTAGTTGTTTTTGTTTTTTGTTTTTTGAAGACATTGTTTCGCTCTTGTTGCTCAGACCTGGCGTGCGATGGCACAATCTCAGCTCACCTCAACCTCCGCCTCCCAGTCCATGCGATTCTCCTGCCTCAGCCTCCCAAGTAGGTGGGGTTATAGGCGGGTGCCACCATGCCTGGCTAATTTTTTGTGTTTTTAGTAGACACGGGGTTTCTCCATGTTGGTCAGGCTGGTCTCGTACTCTAACCTCAGGTAAGCCACCTGCTTTGGCCTCCCAAAGTGCTAGGATTACAGGCATGAGCCACCGCGCCTAGCCAAGACCTTAGATTTTATGAGTGATACAATGATTCTTGTTCGGGGCAGCCAGACTGTTAGGCATTTGAAGTCACACCACAAAAACCACATTTGTATTATCTTCCAAAGGGAGGCCATTTGCTGAGACCTTTTGTCTCTGAGTACTAGTAAGTCTCTTGAGCCCCATAAAATAATCCCAAATGGGACTGCCCAATGGAGAATGTGGACTTCAGATTTAGTTGTTCTTTTACAATCCAAACCATTAAATGACCGCATAGCTTTTCTGCATTTTAAGCCAAAGGAATTTCTGTGGAATTCTGCTATGAGAGTTTCAGAAAACCAGCATGAGCCCATTTACTGTTCATTCAGAAAACTGATGCTTCATCAAGGGGCAGGGGTGGGGGCAAGGGTGCTTAACAGCCAACTCACAGCTCACCTTTGAGGTCACATTTTTATCTGGAATGCAGTAGCAAACCCTAGCGAAATTGGCGATGTCAAGGAAATGTAACACTGATTTGAGCTAACACTTTAACCAAATCCCTATCAGTCTTACAAAGTCATTGAAGAAAAATTCTTAATACCTGAACATTTCCAGTATTCTCATAGTGTTGTCATTCTATTCTGGTCAATATGACAAATTTGAAAAGCACATTATTTC